TGCGGGGACCCTGCCCCGCCCCTACTGCTACGAGATCAGCCTCACCACGGGCTCGGGCAACAGCGAGTTCAGGTTCCTCAAGCCCTTCGTCCCCAGCCTGCCACCACAGCCCTGTGCCGTGGGCGGGAGCACCGGTGAGGAACAGGTTTTCCCTTGTGTCCCTGTCCCCACAGAGGACGTGACCCCAGAGAATGCTGGGCCTGTGTCTGCAGAACAGTTCAATCGTCTTTCCTTTAACTAGCACAGGGTCAGCAGAGCCAGAGGCTTTGTGCCTCGTGGTCGGACGGGATGCAGGCTGCAGCCTGTGGGAATGGTTCCTCCTAAATTAATCTGATTTTACAATTGGCATAACTGATTTCCAGAAATTGTAAGTCAGGGAATGCCCCTGTTCCACGAAATACCAAGAAACAAACAGAATAAAGGGCACTCTCTCAGTCAGACATTTATATGTTTCAGGTCTGTTACAGCCATTCCTAAGACGCTTTAGGAATGCAGATAGCTCTCCCACCTGAGCTCTTCCCTCTCTTGCTGTCAGACATGACAGTGGACCCTTCAAGGGGACCTTATCTGTAAGTGTATGGCACAGAAAATGAGACAGAAATTTCCTTTTTGAAACTCACAGTGACCTTTTCCCAGCGTAGGAAAGGAAGGAAATTATGGCTGTTGTGCCACAATGCCATGTAAGCACCAAGCTCTTTCTTTCCTGTGTTTAGAATGTGTCTGTCTGACATATATGGACTCTGTGGGCTTTGATTTCAAGGTGTCAGCAGAGCCAGTGACTTCTTTCCTCGTGGTCAGAAGGGATGCAATCTGCAACCGGTGGCAATGGTTCCTCCAGGATAAACCTGTATTTGCAGTTGGCATAACCCATTCCCACAAATTATAGGTCCAGGAATGCTTGTGTTCCACTAAAAACAAACAAGGAAACAGAATAAAGGGAACCAAAGCTCTTTCACTGAGGTTGTAGTAGATTTCAGACCTGATTCAGCCACTTTTGAGGGGCTTTAAGAATGGGGTTAGCAGTCCTAGTGAAGATCATGTCTCTCTTGCTGTCACACAAGACAGTAGACCTTTGATTCTCTTCTATAACGGAATGGCACAGTTGGGCAGACAAATCTCCTTCTTGCTGAAAGGTATAAAAGCCTTTTCCCAGCTCAGAACAATTAGGATGTTGTGAGTATTATCATAGTGTTGTGTAAACACCTCACTTTCTTTCCTGGGTTCTGGATGTGTCCAGCTGAGATGTGTGTACCCTGTGTGCTTTGCTTTCTTGTCACTATGTCTGTCTATGCATCACTAGTGCTGCCTGCTGAATTAGGGATTTGCTCCCATTCAGCCTTTCCTTTGTAGGCTGTTCCAACCAGCAGGCAAGGAGGATATTTTGACCCTTTCAATACATCCCTCTCATTTTCTCTATTGCAGAGTAGAGTAGCAAAATGCACAATAAGATCTTCGTTTGGCCCGTAGGAGGGGTTGTGTGTTCTGCCTCCATGAAGTGCAGCAGCACAAAGTGTTGGCATAGACAGTGACTGTAGAGAGGTGTTAAAACATATTTGTTGTCTTTGAGTTGCATTGCATGAAAACTCCACGTGTCCTTCAAAGAGCATTTTTCTGAAGGCTCAGTCAGAATGAACTTGTGAAAAGGACATGGACTTTGATGTCCTCAGTGTTGATCTTTAATTGTGAATTTTGGTGATGGGAGTCTTTCCCTGCATGACTTTCTGGGTTTGTGTGAGAACATTTGCATTCTCCTTGTTGTCCTTTCTACTCTCACTCACTGAACTGTGTTTGAGCATTTACTTGCCTATTCCCCTAAAGAAGAACTGACACCCCATCTATCATAACTGACTGCTTGAACGGCGTCTGTGATGCACAGAAAATTCTGAAAGCCTCACGCTGTGTTGTGCTGAAGTTATAGACTGTAACATTGTAAACCAGGATACCCCTGAGTGTAAAAACTGCAATAATGTGTAAGAGTGAAATAAAGAGCACCCTAATTCCTTGAGTGGAGACAGAAATCTTGGCAGAATCATTCGTTCTGGAAAAGTCTGTCAAGGTGTTTTAAAAGTCTGGGAGGTTTTTTTGTCAGCGTGACCTTTGAGTGAGGTAATGTTTAGCTGGTACGTTTGTCTTGAGTTTGGAGATGCAGCCGAGAGAGCGTTCAGTGCCATGTCCCTGCTGTTGCTGCTGCACTGCCAGTGCTCCTGACCGGTTCCTTTGCTCAGAGAAGGCAGCAGTGTCCCTCTGGGATCAGTCTCTGCCTCACGCTGAGCTGGGAAAAGCCTTGTGCCGCGTTTACTGCTACATTTCTCGAAAGGCAGGGACTCGCCTGCCGGGAGCCGAGAGCTGACAGCGCTCTTGGGCTGTGGGCAGAAGTGTGCAGAGACACCCAGGGACGTTCCAGCCATCCCTGCCTTATAGTACTCAAGCGGCGACCCCACAGGGCTCATCCCGATCTTTGCCGACACATCCATCCCCATTTTGATGTGCTCGCGTCCTGCCCTGGGCGCATCCGCGACCGAACGGCAGCACCGCTCGTGTGCGCGCGTGTCCGTGGGCCGGGACGAGCGGCAGCGCGGGCAGCGGGCGGCGGCGGGCGCAGTCCCAGCGCGCACCGCTGGGTGGTGGTCTCGGCTAAGGCGCCGCCGACACCGACCCAGCGCAGCCCAGCTCAGCACAGCCAAGCCCAGCCCAGCTCCCAACAGCCGAGCCGGGCCGAGGGAGCAGCGGCTGCGCCACCGAGCCCCGGTCTCTGCCGTCCGCTCTCGGGCCAGAGCGGCCGCACTGCGGATTGCCGACCCCACCGGAATACAGAGGGAGAAGGAAGGCACCCGACTGCCGCCGCTTTCGGAGGGCACAGCTCGAGAGATCCGCGACAAGGAGACAGGACGCCGCCGCAGCCCCAGCCGCCGCAGCCAGAGGGCCA